AAATTAGTAGAAAACATGCAACTTCTTCAATACAATCTAGCATGGATATTTATTTAGAATAAAAAAAAAATTTTTTTTCATATTTTTATCTGTTTTATTATTTATTTATTTCGTTATTTATTTGTAATTTTTATTTAATTTTATAATAATAAAATTTTTAACACAAAAAATTTTTATGTCACGTGTTCTTTGTAAGACGGTCTCGATAAGTCAGTTCTCTCGATAAGTCAGCCAAACATGCTCAGCCACGCACGGCTGACTTATCGAGTTTACCTATGTAATTCGTGATACGTGATAGAAGTAGATGATCGGCATATTTTTTAATAAAAAACGGGGTTAATTTCTGAATCCAGACACGTCCATATAATTCTTTATTATTCTTTCATATCTCAAATTTTATTTTTTTTATATCAGACATACTTTTATATCAAATCAAATTTATAGCTAGCTGCATTCATATATTAAAAAAATTTTTTGTACATATTGTATAAATATAAATTTTTATTTAAATGTCTAAACGTAAAGAAGTTTCACTAACACTTGCATCTCAAGGAATAATTGACATTAATTTACACTATGGACCTTTTGCTCATCACTGTTGGCATGAAATTTCTACTGAAAATGGCTCAGAATTTTACCCTATTTGTTTAGGCATGACAATTTTAACTGAACTAAATAGTAGAAAATTTTTGCTTCGTATTATTATGATAAGAGCCAAAGGTTTACACCAGAGGATATGCATAAAGAACTTATTGAAGAATCTGTTCATAATACTCAACTTTCTCATGATGAAATTCCTAAGGTAGAAACTATACGTAATTGGGTTTCTAGATACTCACCCACCATTTGACAATAGAACTCACAATCATTGTTTAATTTTTGATATATGTGCAGAGGTTTACAACCACCAATATTACCTGAAATGCCTGATGATTATTCACAAATGATGCAGAAGTGTTGGGATGTGGGCCCATCAAAGGACCACTGCTGTAGAGCTGCTTGATTTTGCTGAAAATAAACGTGAAGAAATTCTTAATAATAATAATATCAGTAGTAGTATTGTTAGTAGTAATAATACTAGTAATAATAGTAATAATAGTAATAATAGTTTAATAAAAATTTTCTAAAAACAAAAAAAACATGTAATTTTAATAATGATGGTAGCAGCAGCAGCAGCAGCAGTGGTGGTGGTGGTGATGGTGATTCGCAACTAGTACACAAATCACACCCAGATGCATATCATAAAAGTAGAATATTAGATGAGGAGATTGCTAAATCAAAAAGCTTTAAAGTTATACAATTACAAGTAATGATAGTTCATTAAATAATCTTGATTTTAACTCTCTTCTCTTAAATGCTGAAGGTGAATAAAAACTTCATTGCTAATTATTGGAAACTACTATCTATTAATTATTACTAACAATAATTTTTAATTAATTATAAATATTAGATTCTATTAATAATATAAAGGGAAAGATATTGATGAATGATTATTTAATCCTCACTATAAATTCATTCATTATAACTATTTATCCTTTTATTTTATCTTTATTTTATTTCTTATAATAAACTTTTTACAGTTTTTGATTCTTGTTAAATGGTGGTATTGCAAGGTGGCTTTTCAATTATTTAACACGTATGGCTTAACTTTTGGGCCATTCTTGTCAGTTAATTCACAATAATTTGGTGCATGACAATTAATTAGTTTACGAATTTACTTTGGTCCTCGCTCACTGTCTCTTTTTTTGTACACGAATCTGTAAACAACACTTAATGGTACCATATAACTGTAAATAAATAAATAAAGACAGCTCTTCTACAAAGCTAGAACGCCTTTATAAATTCATTTATTCACCTTTGACCGATATATTTCAGTCGTTTACATTTATTTGCCAATTGCAAACTCGCTTTTGACTTATTTACAAAACAGCTTAAGCAGCTTATTAAGAGCTCTACTTTTATGATTGACAATAGAATTGCCATTAATCTTTGGACAATACCTCACTAATTGTCGCTAACACTCACCAATCCTAACTTTTGTCTACTCTCTAAAGAAAACAAAATGTGGACTTTTTACCAAAGTCCCACAACTGCTGCTTTTTACCAAGACAATAACTACACTTGTTGCTTTTTACCAAATCGCTTTAAACAAAGAAAACAAAATAAACATTTTTATTTTTAAACGATTTATTTTATTTAAAATAATGATTCTATCAGATTTTATTTTATTAGAATGTTGATTGTGTATTTATTTTTCCTCTGTTATTTCAAGCGAGAACTTGAAGTTGTTCCAAACTGTTGAATTTCTACAATATTCATATATAATAAATTTTTTCGTGGGTTGAATTAATGGTTCGTTCTTGGCTTCTCATAAGTCTAGCCATAGATTTTAAAAAGATAATTTATGTATTATATGTAATGGCATGAGCTTGTTTAAGTTCAATTCCGAACCGAACCATAGGAATACTGATATTAATATTAAATTTGTGCAATCATTTTATAGGAATTAATTATATTAATGTCTGGTTATAAACATTTTTACAAACACAACAATTTCTTAGAGCTGGGACATTCTGATTTTTCCATATGATAGTAATGATTGTATTAGCAACTTGCAGGTTCTAATTTATCACATTAACATTTACAATTGATTGGTTCGGTATAATAAATTGACATGATATGAAATAAATCTTTAGTATTGGAGCGTTGATATTTGGAGCACATTAATAGATCAATGTATCTGGAACTCAAGAAATGTTAAACTAGTCAGATAATTTGAATATTAGGGTATTAATTACATTAAATTTTTTCTAAACCAGTAATTAAATAATTAGAAATGCTAAAAAATTTTTAGGGATGTCATTTGCATTGCAATATCAGGAAAAACAAATATATAATAAGCATGTATTATTTGCAATTGCTCGGGATTCACCTATGATTCACGTATATCAAGCAAGATATTGGATACTCTTGAAAAATTGATGATGATATATTTGCCAAAGAATTTTCATTTGCAAGTCAAGTTGATTATTCTCATCACAACAACAATAAACACCAAGAGGCAATGCACCATCATTGGTCACCCGGGTTCTAATAATTTCAGACAGAATAACAGAATAACAGAATAACAGATGTTGTTTCCTTGGAATGTAATAAACACTAGTAATGTCTCTTTTTTCCATGAAAATATAAACAAAAGATAAAATAGACATTGTTTATATGTAAATTCGGTGTCGCAGAATGAATATAAAATACGCATTCTCTAGGAGTTTAGCCCCTCTCTGTTCAAATTTATTTAATAACTAAACAATTAATTTGCATCTCTCCATGAAACATATACTTCATCTGTTCTGAATCTATTTGTTATTAAAATAATCATTAATCAATTAAGAAATAAGCAATATATTAATCAATCAATTGACCGATTAATTATACCTTTGAGTACATGTGGTTTCTTCAAAAGGTGTTACAAAATCAGTTTTATAGGCTAATAGTCCTGCATGAGCAATCATAATCCCATTATCAATACAAAATCTATAGTTATAAATATATATATATATATTCCAGTTATTAATTTATTCTTTGATTGTTTATTATTTTCTTTATCATAAAATTTTAATTTTTACCTTTCATCAGTCGCAAAAACTTTTCCTGCACGCTGTTCCGCCATTTGTTGCATCATTTCTTGTAATCTTAAATTACCTGCGAAATTAAAATTATGTATATATTTATATATCCACATGCATTATTTATATATCTCTCATGTAATGATAAAAACTTACATCCAACCCCTCCTACAATCAAAACTTCTTTGCTTTCAATATGAGCCATGGCTCTTTCTGTTATTTCTACTAACATTGCAAATAAAGTTTCTTGAAGTGAAAAACAAAGATCTTCTGGTGTATATTGATCTGTTGAAAGTAATTCATCGGCTATGCTTTCAATGTATGATAAAATTCCTGAAAATGAAACATCCATTCCTTTAACTGTATATGGCAATTCTATAAATTTACTCCCTCTAAAAAATTATCTTAATTATTATTAATATATATAATTAATTAAAAAATGTAACTTTCTAATTAAAGCTTATCATCTACCTTTTAGCAGATTGTTCAATATTATATCCGGGACTTGGATCATTTGGTAAATTTAAAATTCTAGCAAATCTGTCAAGACAATTACCGACTGCAATATCAAGTGTTTCTCCAAAAATTCTATATCTAATTATGTATGTTTTTTTAATAATAATTAAAAATATAATTAAAGGAAACCTTTTCTTTCTTTTAATTTCCTTCCCAAAATACACTTCATATATATATTCCTTCTTTCTCTATCCGAATGCAATTACCTTCTCACCTATGTTCAGAATAAGCAATAACTTGAGTATTACCTCCACTAACATATAAAACTACAGGATTATCAGCTTTTGTTATTTCCCTTCCCATTTCAATATCTAGATTTTGATAAATAAACAAAATTCTTATTTGTATAAATAAATAAATAAATAAATAAATAATCTTTCTTATAATTTTTTTAACTTACGCCCAATACAATGGTTTACACCAACGATTGGTTTATTCCATAACAATGACAATGTTCTAGCCACTATAGCAACAGACACTAAAGGTGCCCCCATTCCAGGCCCTTTTTTAAATGATTAATAAATAATCCTTTATTGTTATGCGTGTATATGCGAAAAAATTATTACTTCATCAATTATCTTTCTTCTTATTTTTACCTTTAGTATAACAGATAACATCGATATCTTTAATTTCTATATTTGCAGTTTTCAATGCCTCTTTAATCACTGGAATAATATATTTTCTATGGTGAGCTGCTGTATCACGTGGTAAAAACCCAGTTCCTGGTGGTGTTATGTGTGTATGTCTTACATTTGCTAATATTTTAACTTGACCGTTTTCCAAGTTATGTTCTATTAAACCTATACCCAATTTATTCGCTGAACCTTCAAGTCCTATTGCGATCATTTCTTTATTTTTGAGATGAATTCAAATTTTTGTCATACATTTAGATATCGGCCATTCTTGATATTAATTTGTATTAGCATTAGTATGTGTAACTGCACCAAAAATTTTTTATACTTGGACAGCTATTTTTTTTTTTTACATGTGTTTATATATTATAATAGGGACGATCTAATTATCATTGTTTCTACTCGTTCTTTTTAGCTTTAGAGATTAAATGAAAATCAAAATTGTTTTATTAATGTATAATTAATAGGTGTTTTTATTTTCTATTAATATACCTGGCAACTGTTTAATGTTTTCTAGTCTTTTTAATCTAATACTTTTTATTTCTTATTTTATAAATTAGTCAAAATATTAATGGTTTACAAAGAAAGACACGAGACTCAAAAACATAATGAATTAATAGATCACTTTAATGTATTTATACATGCATATGTGTCACTTTATTAAAATTTTTTTGCAGGCAAACTATACATTTATAATATGGCAGCGAACATAAATTGGAGCAGAAATGATCAAACAGGACAATTTAGGCTGAATTAATAGATCCTTCTGTTGATGTAAAGTAAATATATGACAACTATTAATTATTTTTACATGATGACATGACATACTTTAGGTTTCTATCTTCTATACTGCTCAAAACAACTAAAAATAAACTACTTGTCATTAGGAGCTTCTTCTTTCAATTAAAAATGACTTTAGGCGGAAATTGCAAGCTTCATATATAATCATTAATTATTTTTACATGATTACATACTTTGTATACCTATCTTACATGGAACTTTGGATTACTCAAAGCAACCAAAAACGAACTGCTTGTCATAGGAGCTTCTTCTTCAATTAAAATCGAATTCAGATGGAGTAAAGTAAATGTATTGCAAAGGCTGCAGGTTTTATATAACCATTGATTATTTTTACATGGTGACATACTTTAAGTTTCTATCTTTTAGATTACTCAAAATGAACTAATTTGATTGAAAATTTTTGTGCAAGAATCACACAATTATTATAAAAAGCTTGCACTTGATCAATTTTTGAATTAAAAAATATAATCAATATAGTAAATAAATAAACAAAACTTTTTACAACAAACATATTAATCTATGGTTTCAATTTCAGACTATATTAATTACAAAGGTTAAGATTTATGTGAAAATTAAAATAATATTTATTAATATTAATATATTTATCCAAAAGATTTTCAACCCAACTAGTTTAGTTTCTCTTGGATCAAAATTTTATCTGAAAAATCTTTCGATTCATTGCACTTTCATTTCTTCTTTCTTCTTTTTCATCTTTGACTACTTCATATTTTTTGCCTAATAATTATTAGAATCATGAAATTTTGTAATTTTTCATGGACATGATATCTAAATGTCATGAAAGTAAAGTAGTTTTTTAGATCTATATAAATAATTATGTGTGTATAGAGATGGTGATTTATGCAGCAATGACGGGTGCTATGAGGTAGCTTTTTGGTTAGTATTGTTTATGGCCAAATTTGAATGATTAATTGCAAACTTTTATATTCAATGCTTATCAATTAATTTATTTTACAAAATTATTTAGCAATTATCCCGCTTACTGCCTCTTTCTTGTACCTAGAAAGCTTCGGCGATCTGTAAGCACACTTTTACTGTAATAATAAAAAATGAATAATAAAAATGTTAAATATATAAATAAATGAAAATGAGGCTATGTCACATGACCGAAATACGATTGGATAACACTTTGATAAATGCGTCTTATTTATTTTTATCACAATATAAATTTTTTGTTTTTCAATTTATCTTTATTAATTTTTTAATGGATAAAAAATTATTAACAAAGAACATGATCAATAAATTGTGAATTGTTTGTTTCGTAACAAAGTAATTTGTTTATTATTCTATGATAATAATAATAACGAATTGTTGTTATTAAAATGTTAGAATGACATGCATATTAATAATGTTGAATTCAACTGCAAATTTGGAAATCATTTGCAGGTATGGTACACACATTGTATGCGCATCATAATTAAAATGAAAAACTTTAAAAAGAAAAATTCATAAGGCAAAACCTGGTTGAATTGCATAGAATTTTAAATATATAAACAAGAAAAAAGTACATGAATGATAAAAGAAAGTTGATTAATTGTAATAGATATGGAAGGAATTTTAGATAAAGATTATAATAACAATAATTTAATAGAAGTAAAAATCAACACAGATGTAAATACACAAGAAGTTTCTCAAAAGTCCATTAAACCACATAATGGGAAATCTATAAAAACAATAATTTGTTCACCAAACTTAAAATATGTTGCAACCTTTAGTGAAGATGATAATTCAATTGTTGGATGGTTAGTTGATGATGTACATTTGAAAAATGATAGAAGATTAGAACCAGAAACATTTTTTAGTCCTTCCAATGAATCACAACAAAATGGTCAATCATCAAATATACCAAAGATAACTTCTATAAAAGCAGTATCTGACCAAAAATTTATTGTTTTTGAATCTAATCTAGATAGTTGTTATTGTAAGTTGATAAAATTTATGAAATAATTTTTTTGTTAACAAATTAATAAAAAATTTTTTTTGTATTAATAAATTAATTTATTTGCTTATTTACTTTAGGTTTATTTGATTTAGTTAGTAAACGACATATTAAATTATTGAATCATCAAAAAAAAATTGATTACCAACACCCAACATTTTTAACAAATGGAGATCTATTTGTAATTTCATATGAGAATGATCAAATTTATTTATTTTCATTGAATTCAAATGAAAAAATCAGTGAATTAACATGTAAAACAACATACAGCATAATTTTACCAAAACTAACAGCTTTTGATCATAATAATAATGTTGCAAAATATTTTGTCATCGCAAATTCAAATTTATTGATCAACAATGGTATCATGATGGCTTCACAATGGGATTTAACCAAAATGAGATTTGAGTTGCAATATTTTTCAGATATTTCATTACCAAATAATTTCTATAAATATAATGATAATCATGCAATATTTAACAAGGATAAGACCTTATTAGCAGTTTATTTATATGTAGAAAAACAATTAATTATTTATTCAACAGCATATGGAACCAAGTTAACAACATTGTAGGTTTCTATTTTTTTTATTGTTTACTATTTGTTTATTTATTTTTTATTTATTGTTTCCTTTTTTTCTAACATCTTTCTATTTTCTTAAAAATTATTCAGTTACATTTGTAAAAATCGAATGTGATGAAATGGTTTTTATATACACAGAAGACAACACAGAGCATTTATTTGTAGCATTACAAGACGAATATATTACCAACACAGTCATTTATAGATTCATGGATCCATATAATTTAAATAATTTTACTGATATAACTGAAATTTATACAAAGTATTTATTTAAAGATAATCTAATTAAAAAACATCACAAAAAAAAATTAGCAAAAAATAAAGTAATTAAAGTAATGGATAATAATTTTATTTTTTTACAAGAAATTGTATCAAAAGAAATTAAATTGCCAAATTCACATCTAAAGAATTTCAACCATTTATTTTTATCACCATTTATACTGGAGAGTATTTGTAAAATATTTGACGAATTATTAAGTGATGAAATTACAGATTATTTTCAAGATAAATTCGAATTAGAATCAAATAACAATCAAATTAAATGGACAATAGATCATTATGATAAAGAATCAGGTTATTTGAAATTAAAACATTTAGGGGCTAAGTTAGATGAATATGATTATTTTAAACAATGCACCCATTTCTTATTAAGGTGTAAAATATTAGAAAATGATGATTTATTATTAATCACAAGATTAGGTATGATGATATTTTCAGTGAATCTTAATGATAAAATTTATTTAAAATACTTTTGGAATGATTGTATTGAACAAGAGAAAAAACATTGGATGAGACATGAAAGTGACAAACAATATATTAAAGGTAGAATTTTAAAGGGGTTTGACAGCTTTAAAACCTCAAATAAATTACCTTCACCTAATTATAACCAAACTTGTATTAGTGAGGTTACTTCAGGGCAATCATTTTCTGAAGGCTTTGCCAACTTTAAAAAATTAAATAGATTACCTCCACTTAACTATAATTATATCTTTGATAATTATGACCAATCTTATGCTGGTGGAAATAACATTTCAAGGCATCCATTCAGAGATATGTTATTAGCAATATTAGAAGATATTTCTTCGTTTACAATGTTTGCTGATGAAATCTTAATATGTGCTTTAGATAATCATAAAGGTTCAATAGTAGAACTAGTTTGTGATAAATGTCTAAATTTTTTACAACAAAATCCTGAAATGAATCTTGGATTATTAACATTTTTAGTAAACAAATTACCAAAATTAAGTAAACATTATCCTGGGGTAGTAAAGAGATTTCTTGAGCAAACGTCAATGTTATTGGATCCTTCTTGTAAAAAAATCTTTATATCAGATTTGCCAAGTCATTATGGATATTGCTATGACATTGATTTATACAGAAATAATTTTTTTTGGAACCTATATTTTTTATTTCATAATAATAATTATAAATTTACAAAAATAATTGAAAAGTATTTTGATGATTATCCAATATTTTCAAATAATTATGAAAAATATTCTTTAAGTTTAGTTGTACCTTTACCAAAATTCACAAGTTATCCAAATTGTTATTCATTTTGGAAAGAATTATTATACAGACCTGATTCTAATACTTTTATTAAAATGAACAGTAAAGAATTATTTAAAAGCTGGAATGGTGAAGCTTTATTAGATTTTAAATGGCATAAATTTGCTTTAAAATATTATTTAGGAATTTGGTTATATTTTATAATATTTTTTGCATCTTTTTCATTTATCACAACTTTAAAAAATGATGTAGATAAAGTTACAAGGAACATAATTTTATTAATTTCAATCATTCTTGGTTTTTCTCATCTAATAATTGAATATAAAAGATTTATATGGAGTCCAAAAAATTATTTATTTGATTTTTGGAATTATTTTGGTAAGAATATTTATATTTATATATATATATATATATATATAATTTTTTTTTTTTTTTTAATGATTTTTTTTTAAAAATTAGATTTAGGTTCATATTTATTTCCAATAATCACATCTTTGCATTGGATAATAAATGATAGTGCACCAACTTGGATGATGTCTCTGTCTAATTTATTATTGGATTTGAAATTTATGTTATTTTTAAGAGCTTTCAAATCTTATGGAAAATATTTTGCAATCATGATAGGTGTTGCAAAAAAAGTGTTTTCATTTCTAGTTATTTTATTTATAATAGTTTTTAGTTTTGCTCATGCATTATTCATACAATTAAGACCAAAAGATGACTATGATTTGAAAATACCAGATATAAATTCAGATGACAGCAATAATCCTTGGAATATTGTATCAAGATATTATCAAATATTCACAAATGGAACAGTAGATAATAATCCATTTTTAATACAACAACCTGAATTAAGCACAAACATGTTTGCCGAATTTTCTACATCATTGTTAGCTATGTACAACATTCTCACAGGTAAAATACATATTTATAATTAACAATTAATTAATATCAAATCTTATTATTATTTATTTTTCCTTTAATTTTAAAGGTGATAATTTGGCTCTTTCATCAAGATCATATCAACAAGATCCATATTTAAGCTTATTAATGGTAGCCTTTTCATTTTTGATTGTGGTTTATTTACTTAATCTATTTATTGGTTTATTGAGTAATGCCATTGAGGAGAATGATACTAGAGAAGCATTCTTGGCTCAAAAAGCAAAGGTAATAATAATAATAATAATTCATTTTTCTTTTCAAATAAATATATTAATTAAAAAATTTTTTTAATATATTAATTTAGATTATTCATGAAATAGAATTATTTTATTTATTTCCACAACAACGACGTTGGCAAACATGGTTTCCTGATTTGATGTAAGTTTTCATATATGTGTATATATATATATATATATATGTAGATACAAGTTGTTTGACGATTTTATTTAACGAGATTATTATCAATATTAGATATTATAATGTTACAGTTGAAGAAATACATCAAAAAATCCAATCTATAGATAAAAATAAAGACAAATATGAACATCCTCCTATAATCTCAGACAAATTACGTGAATTAGTAGGAATTCCTGTACAAAAATTTAAAAAGGATTTGTCAAAACAATATGAAGAAATCAAGAATGATTTTAAAAGTATACAAGAAAGTTATGTGGAATTAAAAAATCAATTGGATGCTAATAATAAATTTATGATTTATCGATTGAAAGAAAATAATGAATATCTCATTGAAAAACTTACAAATAAAACTTAAATTTGTAACTCCTTTCTCAAAATAATAAATGTATTGAGTTTTTTTTTGTAATTAAATTAATATTTATTAATATATTTATCCAAAAGATTTTCAACCGTCTAGTTTAGTTTCCCTTCCATCAAAATTTTATTTGCAAAACCTTTCAATTCATTGCACTTTCAATTCACCTTTATCTCCTACTTATTCTTTCTCGTCTTTGACTATTTTATATTTTTTGCCTAATAATTCATCAGCCATGTACTGACTGGTAGGAACCATGAAATTTTGTAATTTTTCATGATATCTAAATGTCATGAAAGTAAAGGAGTTTTTTAGATCTATATAAATAATTGTGTGTAGAGATGATAATTTTATGCAGCAATAATGGGTGCTATGAGGTAGCTTTTTGGTTAGTATTGTTTATGGCCGAATTTGAATGATTCATCGCAAACTTTTATATTCAATGCTTATCAATTAATTTATTTTACAAAATTATTTAGCAATTATCCCGCTTACTGCCTCT